ARGKTAAMCCCCSRARKKRAWYCCYWARGSMMWAWTTTYSKTTWMSCGCTGTTATTAAAAATATCTTTGACTCTTTTGAGTTGATGTGTTTTTAATCAGCTGACATAGTATTAGAAGAAAAAATATACCGATTGCATAAAATAAAGGTGACGTTCAAAAGACGCCAAAATGCATTTGTTCAAAATGAAAACCTGATGATTGCAAAATGGAAAAAGCAGCTAAGAGATGGCAAACCTATCTGTCATATTCATAAGCGGCTATAGCAAGAAAGCAATTTAGCCTTCTTGGGAAAGGCCCCTGGCGTTCTTAACTTCACTAATCAAACACAATATTGTAAGAGTCTCCCACATTGTTCAACTGCGTTTAAGAATTTAAATGCATTCAGCACTATTATTTTGAATAATTAATGTACAGCTGTTAAGGAAAATTTTACCTCCACACTCTCTTCAAAACTAAAATAATTTTATGGTCAACTCAAGTTGGGGAAAAAACGTTTGCATAATAAGTGAGTGGGTTGGTAAGAGCCACAGACCATGAATATAGAGTTTCACTCATTCGCAGATGAAGCAAATTATTTCTTAAAATTAAACATTAATATAATAATACTTGAAAGTGAAGTTATTTGCGAACGTGATAAAGTCGATACTTGGCCATCTGCAAACAAGCTTCTATCAAATAATGAAACTTCAAATCTTGTTATTTGTAAACATTAAAAGAAGTATAGAGATTCTCTTTAAGCTTCGCTATTTCCTAATGGATCCTGCATTATACTTTCGAAGAGCCATTTTGAAATCATTGCTTGAGGTAATGCCTACTATCAGTCAATGTTGTAATTTGTACTTACAAAAGTACGTTAGATAATAAAGCTATAAGAATAATAACCTTCTCCAGGTTTACGGAACACTCAAGTCCTTCAAATCAAAGACTTGCATTTTTTCAAGCTATCTGCTATAACTACCCTTCACCTTGGAGTGCTTATACCCCTCCCTCTCGAGCTTCTAAAGAAAAAGTATCGGTCCATTCTTATTGAGAAATATTCAGTAATTGTAGACTTCATTTTACTTTTCTGCTTATCTGTTTTATGTAAGTGTGTGTACAAGAGTGGTACCTGACCTTCATCCGTCAATTAATTACCTTAGTGTTAGCCAACCCTATAAGTTAATAAAGGATAGCCTGTACTCTCCGCATAGTTTATAACTTTTGTCGGAGAAATTCTTTCTGATTACCTCATGTAGTTTTAGAAGTTCATAAGGCTTGTAAAGTTCATTTCATCCTTAAATCTTAGCTTCCAGAAG